CAAACATCAAGGTGAACGTCGAAAGTCGGCAGCGTGTAGCAATTATTGGTTTTGTCGAATCAAGTGTCCGAAGAAAGCCTCATAAATGAAGTTCCTAAAACATCGCTCTTACCCAAGAATTGACTGAGAAGGTTAAACATAATGATCTTCAGTTTTGTGCGGATTTTTTGTAAACGTTTTATGAGTGTAGAACTGTTGGACTTTATTTCTTCGAAGAAAACTGTCATTCAGTCATTGTAACTTCGCAATGAGGAATTCTACAGACTTTTCTTAAGCCTAAACTAGAACAGAAGTTATTCATTCTAAAAGGATGGTACTAGTCACACGGAGAGAATTCCCATGGAAGTACCCCGAGAACTTTCCCTCAAATATTAACTTCCCATAGTGATGATTGGCCATGGCTGGTCAGATTACTTGATTTACCAAACCAGATTTTTTTCTTTTGGGTCTACCTCTAGGAAATATAGTACTAGCACTCGATGATTAGTCACAAGATTTCAAGTATGCCATATGACTAAAACGATCGTTGAAGCTTCACGGATTATTCAGAAAATACAGGAGCTGTAACTAAAAATTCTGCAGGTGGTATAGAACATGCATCGAAGAAGGAGGCAACTTTTTCATTCAACTGTAAGTTTATACAAATCAGGTGAGTAAACAGATTATTTACTTATTTTTGTATATTTATTTATTATTACATCGCAACTAAATTGGACGACGGTCGTCAGGTAGATGTCATCTATATGATATTGATTTCTCAAAAGCATTTGATCGGCTAGTTCTAGACCATAGTTCTTAAGTCAAAATTATCAAGCTTTGGCTTAACTGAATCATTTGTTAGTTTTTTCACCTCGTACCTCAAAGGAAATTGACAGTGGAGTATCGTGGTTTTCGATCAGTAGAAATAAATGCTCCCTCTAGGGTCCCTCAAGGATCGGTTCTTGGCCCGCTATTATTTCTAGTCTTTATTAATGACATTATCCGGAACCTGAATACTGAGGCCCCTCTTTATGCAGATGATTTCAAATTGTATCTGTCTGTGTCAGATATTAATGATTGTGTTAAGCTTCAATCTATCCTGGACAAAATTTCTTAATGGTGCTCTGAAAATATATTACCTCTTCTCTTCTCGAAGTACAATTTATGGGTTTCACGATTACTTTTAAATACGACATTGACAATAAGCTTGTGGGTGCACATGTCTGCAAGTGACACATTTTAAGTATTACGTCAAGAAAAATCGACTGTCCAGACTTGCTTATTCTGCCATCCGTTTTTCAACACCTTTTTATTTTTCCACTCTTAACACTAATCGTTGAAATTTTCACCTTTGGACGTAATGGATCTTAATTATCGTCAGTGCAAAATTCTGTGTATATTTTTCATGATACTGTTAGACGTATCAAACAAAAATTCTTTACAAATTAGTAAATCATGTTATTTATACTTGTGTTTGTTTTTTCTCTTATTCGGTTTCTTAGTTTGTAATATTATCTGCAATTCATTTGTTTTATACTTGCGTATACGTTTTTGTCTTTATTTTGTATTCATGTTATATTTAAGTGTATATTTTCTTTTAAGAATAAAAAGTTAAAAAAATCACTTTTCACGACCGAATTTGAGAAGACAAACCTATGACATGTGTTTCTAAAGGTCAAAGGTAGCGTCTGTATAAATATGGCCTTCATTCAACGTTACACTCTGTATAGGATGAAATTCGGAAAACACCAGAGCAGTATTGCAAAATGTAATGAATAAGTTTGTTAGAGGCTTAGAAGAATACATTACGAAAGAAGAATTTTACTGTATTCTATTCATCATTAAAGAATCTTCCAAACCTTTTGAAATATTATTATGATGTGCTGTTCTTGTTACTGTTATCGAAAAATTTATTAATAAGTTTTAAATTGATAATAAACATCTGACTCTGTTTGTATACAAAACAGTAAATATAATACTTTGATATAAAATTGCTTTCAGATAGTCCAAAACAGTGTTGTGCATTTCTTATGGAACCACCATAGAACAAACACAGCCAATTATGCGATGCGGAGGAAATCATTTTTTATTTACAGCCATATCGATCGTCGGAGCGGCATCACACCTTCCACCGGCAATTTCCGTTTGTCTGAGATATTGTGTTAGAACATCACTAATTGAATTCCAGGAGTTCTCTGCCGGCTGAGCCGAGTCAACTTGCGCCACGGCGGTCACCTCATCAGTTCCACTATTCCGCTACCGTCGACCACATTTTCGCTGTCGGACAAATTAGAATCACCTGCGGAAAATTGAATTAATTTTCCTAGGTGATATTTAACGAGCTCGGGGCTTTTAATTGAATTTTTATTACCGAATGGGAATTGCAATTAACGTACCGATTGTACGTGCTTATTGTAAATAATCGATGCCTATGCGGCACTGCGTCTTTTCTATTAAATTTCCTTTAAAAGTTGCAAACAAGAAATTAATTGGGAAATTTATTTTAATTGCTGGGTTTTAATTGCCGGGCGCAAACTATTTCAAAGGAATTATTTATATGCAGGGAAAAAATGATTAAATTATTGCAAGTTACTATGTGCTATCAAAAACATCACGTATAAAATGTAATACATACTTTTAATTTACAAAAATTTAGTAATATCCCTTTATAGACTTCTACAGTTTGTCTATGTATTTGCGCAGAAAGTAGTAACTAAAACGTTTGCTAAATTTTAACGGCGGATTCTGCCACAAATTAACAAAAAGCTCCAAAAATATTTCTTCTTCGGGATAACGTATATTAAAATTAGAATTTTTTTTTTGAATATATAGATCAAGTGATATAAATTTTTTATATATAGAGGGGGTGGACGTGGTAATTTTCGCTCCCAACTTTTTTTATTTCAGGTTATTTCAAGCTTGAAGCGCTAGTAAGTAAGTAAGACCACTAAAAGCTTTAGAAAAATGTTTACTTGCTACATATTTGCTACATCTACGACCGTAGATAAAAGTATTTAAATTTTTTTAAATAACGCAGTGAAATCTACAGTATGTAGAAATTTTCTTAGAAAATTGAGACTTTATTAGTATGTATTTATTGAACATACTTATGTGTATGTTTTAACAGATGCACCAATTAAAAAATATATTTTTGGAAATTTTAGTCGTTGGTTGTATTTTTTATATAAATTGTATACTGTAACTGTAGGTTTTTGTAAAAAATATGTTTGATGTTACTTCAATTTGTTAAATCTCACCGGTGTTGTACTTTGACCTTTCTATAACCATAAATCAAATGAAACCCCAAGTTAACATTTAGAAGTTTGTTGGTATTATATGTAAGTTTTCATAACAGAAATGTTTGATGCTTCAAAGAAAGAACGTTTACAGTATGTATGTAGGTAGCAATATATTTTATATACCGAAAGAGAATAACTTAAAACTTGCTTACATGAACTTTATTAAAAATATAAAAGTCAAATTTACCTCAGAACGAACAAACTTCAATTCAGTTCAGTTCAATGCAGTTGTGCTTCGTTGAAATATGAATTCGTATATGGAAAATAGATAAGTGTGCACTAAGTCGTTAGACAGTTATTAAAGTTATGACTGTACTAAGCTTTGACTTATCATAGTTAAGTGGTATACATTTTTTAAATGAATGTATTAAATTAGCACAAAAATAATTGATAACAAGTAAGTAATAAATATAAATATTGAAAGTATTTTGTTTTCCAGGACATCTCTGACAAAATCAGAACAGCTTGTTCTGCCTGTGTTTAATTTCTCTATATAGGCTGTTACAAATTCGCTTCTCGCTACAGTGACATAATAATGGTGTATTGTAACGGGTGATGGTAATAGTTTAAATAACTATCGACACTTAGAGTGTATGATAATTCAATAAACATATAAATTTATATAAACAAATTTAGATAAATTTGGAACGAATAAACTGAAGATGAATTTTTCGAGACAAAACATCTGAATCTGGTTCTGTCTGAGGCAGTACAGTACTGGGGGTCATGAAGGTTTGCAGAAAATGTAATAAAATTTCCAGGGTCTTATTTAAAAAAATGAAGTTGAATTGATTATGCCATTCGATAGAGGGCAAAAAGTGGCCATGAGAAAATGTTCTTCTTTTTTCAATATCACCTCAAACAAGACTGAAATGAAACAAAAATGGATTTCCAAAATTTCGTTTTTTTTTTTTCAAATATTTCGAAAACTAATTATGTTAGCCTTGATTTTTCAGAGACATAATGTTAGTCCCCTGATTATGCAACTTTGCCCCCATTTAAGGTACTTCGTATCTCTTACCGTTTCCGAGATCCATGTTGAGAGAAGCGAATTTGTAACAGTCTCTACACATCGTCTTATATTTTTTGAAAAGGAAAACGCCGAAAATGTTTTCAATAAACATCGTTGAGAAAAAAAAGAGCGTTTGACATGATATAAAAAAATATTTATGAAATTTGCCTTCATAAAATAATATGGCATCTTTTCTTTCCACAAAATACATAGCTGCTCTATTAGGAGCAAATAACCCCAAAATAAGTTTTGCTGATAAAAAGCATCTTCTTAGCGGTAGTAGTACTAGCTCAAAGGCTTTAAGATTAGATCAATCAAGCAAAAACGGTAATTTTTTTTAGCAAATTCAAACTGTATGGGTACCTTGATTTTTTTTTTCACTGTTGCAACAAACTTTACGTGTAATATCCCGTTTGGGTAATCATGCAAGAGCGAATAGGATCAACGAATGCAGTACGGAACAACCCCTACGAACTGACGATTTAATCTAAATATGACATTAATAAAAACCGTGAATCACTGACACGTTCAGGGTTCGTCGGACCCGTCAATAGACGCCCGTTTCGGGAGACTTTCCCAGCGGATCGATAGCATGGGGGCACGATAAATGACGAGCAGCATAAGACGAGTCATCCGTTCAATCTAGGCTGATAAAAGCAGTCAATCGAAAGCTGATGTGCGCCGGGTAGAAAGAAACACTAAATACAAACCTTGCGAGTAGCTCATTGCGAAGCAGGGGCATGTGTCGGAAGGCAGTGAAGGCTGAGCCAAGGGACACACACTCACCTAGAAAGAAAAAAAGTTAAATCAGTTCCACGTCGTTTGTTATGAGGGGGAGGCTAATACTATGTAAGACTTAGTAAACATGGAAGATGTTCCGGAAATGAGGTATTCGGCTGCAGCAGGTATCGCTATTCTTTCATAGGTATACTCGATGAAATTTACAAGAGTTATTTGCAGGAAAATAAAAAGAAATAAATAAAATAAGTTGAGTTGGACAATTTGAAGAGAATTTTTTATTTGGACACTGGCTATTTTCAAGTGCGACGAATTACCAACAAAATGCAAGCTGTCTGTATATTTTTTCTCTACAAAGCAGCTGATATTTTATTTGCCTGCAATACACGTAAAGAGTAAATTTAGGTGAGGATTGTATTAATTATTTATCTAATTTCTCATTACACAAATTAATTGTTGAAATATAAAAACTGTCATTCTCAATAATCGTTTTAGGTATTAAATTGTCGCCTTGCAACAACATAAATTATGTTTTATTTCTAAGTACTTTTTCGACCTTCCATTTAGAAACAAAAAAATTAACTTTCTTTCAATTTCAAAGAAATATGTAAAAATTTTCCTAAATGGAACACCTTGTCTGTATATTTGACGCATTTCGGGATCCTGTTATACAATTTCATCATATTGTCCTATCTTAAAGGTCTCCACACTATTTACTTCGCCCATTGAAAAAAAAAACAGGTCATGCTGTCATAGCATATACAAGTTGGTAAACCATCTTTTATCAGTAGGTACAAAGTACTGTTTTGTGCCAGTAGGTCTTGTACTAGTAATAACATTGAAGCTATGACATATCGATATTTAAGGCAACAAAAAAGCTGACGAATTAGTTAGGAAGACTCCATCAATTCAACTTCATCAACATATTAGTCACAAACCTGCAGTGAGCAATTGGCATAAGGAATACTGGAACATTTTGCTTAGGTAGCAATTTGGAAAGACAAACAAGAAAGAGAAATGAACAACTACTTAGGCAGAAATCAGTTAGTCCCCTCAAATAACATTGTGGTTTGGAGGATACCTAAATAGGATTGAGCTGTGAATTAAGATATAGAATGTAGATTTTACAATAAGGTAACAGAAATAGCCTATCATATCCCATGCGAATGCGAACTATTAGACCATAGAAAACAAATTATACATGATTAATCAAAATTGAATCGAGATTCAATTCATTTAACCCATAGCAAGACTATACAAACTACTGCAAGCGATCAAAGCAGTGGAATTGATAATAAATTGGTCACTACAATACGCGACAAAACTGTAGTACTTCTTGAGGAATTGCCAGAAGGTTCTCACACATAGAAAAAATTTTACAATTAACAGGATTGCCATTTTTTTCCTAAAGGCTTACTATTCTGCAAAGATGAACGTAAAGCAACAATTACTCAAGAATAATAAAGATTTTAAAGGTGGTAATGCCAACGTCATCGAAATATATACAAAAATAAATTGTATTTTTTTTGAGAAGCTTGTAGAATGAGATCTGGGCCACCAAGGAAACATCTGTAACACTTTTTACGAGTTTTTAGGTTTTTTATGAAGCCGGACTGTATTCGAAAGTCAGTTTGTAATACATTGTTGTAGTGATTGCTGTGCTGTTTTTCGAAAGTACATTTAATAGCCGTATTTCCAAGTTTTCTTTTGAAAATGGCGCATTTATTTATCAATCGCGAATATTATATGCTCATAATTTATGGCGAAGCAAATGAAAATGCCCACAGAGCTTGTCAAGTGTACCGTGCAAGATATCCTGAACGATGTGCCTCCGCACCGCGAACATTTGTTGCTGTAACGCAAAGAGTTTTGGACACCGGTGAAGTACAACCGCGTCGAGGTCGCGACGGTGGCCCGTAGAAGATCCGCATCGTAGCAACAGAAATATTGGCGGATATTACAAGTTCAGTTGTACCCATTTCATATTTAACGTGCTCAAACGCTTACTCCTGAGGATTTCCACTACGTCCAGGTTTTTGCGAATGGTTGCTTCAGGAACATGCAAGAAATCCTCAATTTATAGCGCAAATACTTGTTACAGATTAAGCATGGTTCAGTCGAAATGGTGTACGTAACGTATACCATACGCACCACGGGACTATCGAAAATTCACACGAAATACATCGCAGTGCCTTTCAGCGACAGTTTTCAGTGAACATGTGGTCCGATATCGTTAATGACACTTTAATAGGATCTTTGGAATTGCCTAGACGCTTAGACGGAGCTTCATATACTTATAGATTATTTGCAAAATCACTCACTTTTATCTAAACATTATTTTTCCCAATCACTGGATAGGCCGCGGCAGCCTAGTTAAATGCCCCCCCCCCCCTGGTCTCTGGACCTCACCCCTTTAGACTTCTCTTTGTGGGGATATGTGAAAAGTGTTGTGTATTCCACGGAAGTTCGTGACATCGACGTGGCAATATTGCAACGCGTGCGCGCGAATTGGATACGTCACCCTGATGCCTGTGTGCAAGGAAATGGTGGAAAAATCAGCAGTTCTCAAAAGGTGGCTCCTTGCAATGTTGAGGTAAGACACGATTTAAAATTACATTTCGCTCAACACAAATCCGTGTATTTATCTCATTTTGACACAACGGACATCTGGTAAAAATATTTAACATTCCATTAACACCGTATATATTCCATATTTAATTTCAATATTTTGCTGAACAAACTACAAATTTCTGCCTTCGTGGAGGGCTAAATTAAACGCATCGTTACATATTTTCTAATCGGCGTTAAACGGACAGCCCAAACAAACGGCCGCACAATAATTGGACTATGATTACGCACGTAAAAACCGACTACAACGTGAATGTTAATGACACAATGCAGCATCGTTGGTTCGGCTTTTATCCGGACCCGCATTATCTATGCTGTCAGTGCCAGGACGAATTACACTCCCGACGTTGTAATTCATTTATAAGTTGGTCCCGTGGCGTCCGTACACAGGAATTTATAACTTTCCCCGAGCAGCCGCATTCGAACCATAACCCAATTTCATCGGTATTTATCCTCAACAAGTCTGCAAAAACTTTCAAAATTAATTAATTATTTTCAATTTGGCAACTCGCTTTTTCGACCCTTGTCATTTAGCCTAACTTTTTCCGGTCGTTGTCAAATAAATTCATTATTTATATTTAAAGGAAGGAGGTGACTGAAGGTAGACAGACTGATGAATCGCTTAATAATTAAATAATGGTGTTTATTGTGGGTTCGGAATCATTGGTAAAGCGTTATCCTTATGTATCTCAACTTGAATAAATAGGATATACGAACTATGAGTTTCGAATGAGGCCTCGAATTGAATACACTCTTCTCCTTCATAACAGCTATCTAAATGTGAATAACTTACCAGTGGTATCGAAATTTGACGGTAGTTGTGGAATTGAAACTGTTAAACATGTTAAACATTCTCATGGGATCATATTAGATTAAATTTTATTTCGAGTGATACAAGAACACCTCACCTTTATTGCCTTTTGCAACTCATCTGTTCGTCCCGTTCGTATTACAGCAAATTAAAGATTTAGTTGGAAAACATTATGTAAAAAATGATGGAGATTTTAATGATAAAGTCGATGGACTCCAAATAGATTCAAGTAACATTCTATTGAGTGTTGACGTCACGTCGTTGTTTCTATTATTGAAGCTTTGGAAGAACTTCATCAAAGGCTCACTACAGAAGACAAGGATAAGGTAATAGACTTGGCAAAAATGTGCACCAGACGAACCTCCTCAGTGGGTTTACACTTTCTTCCTGCTCTAGAAATATTTATAAGAAAATTATCGGAAAGAATGGCCTGGAGTCAAAGTTTTGGATCAGATATGTTAATGGTACACTTATTGTCTAGTCAAATGGATATAACAACATAAATTATCCGCATATCGGCTTCACCAGTGAAAGGAGTGAAAGAAATGGTGCCATGCCATTTCTAAATGTGTTTTGTCGAGAGAAAACCAGGCGTTTACAGAAAGAAAACCAACGTGAACATGAACTCCGAGTCTCATCACTACTCATTTGAGAAATAAGGTATTGTCAACGCATTGGAACATCCAGCACATACTATCTGTGAGCCCGATCCCTTAGACGAGGCAAATGCATGCACGAATAGGAATATTGAATGAACCATCGACAAGGTTAAAGATCTCATGAAAAAATATTTTCCAAGAGGTGCTGCAAGCATGCTCTACGCTAAAGTCCAGGTCTATACATCATCATGTGCATATCCGGAGAACTATGCGAGGTTAAACGTATCGCTTGAAGAATAACAACGCAGAAAAATCATCAGCTGCTGAACATAGAGCATAAGAGTAGAACTTATATCAGAATTCTGGTGGGAGAAAAGATTTTGGCTCTGCATGGAAAGAATAGAAATATAGAAGAATCCGGATAGTTTCAATTGAAAGGAGTGGTTAGAATTACTTGGAATTTGGAAACGACTTTTTCGCATAAATCAAGGTCCGAAAAAATACCAGCCTATGTCTACAAACCATGCACTGGAACGTTATCATGGTACTACCAGGAGGACTAGTTTTAGTGTTTCCTCTGAAGGAGAGAGGGGTATGTCTCTCGAATCGTCCAAAGTCTATATCGTCGACGTGAAAACTAACTCAGAAATTGTTCAACCATATGCTCAAAAGGGCTCAAGGGGGTTTTCGGCCCGTAATTTTTTTTATTTCAATTTTTTTACAATTTTCTCTACAGATTTATAATATCTTAACAATTTTACGTAAAAAATATTATCTTTGTCCAAATCGATATTTCCAATGGTTTTCGAGTAAATTGAGTTTGAAAATTACTCTGATCTTTAAGTTATTAGGCCAAAAATTACAAAAATCTGTTTACCATGGTAAATAAAAGACTGACGTTGCCACAACTCTTAACAATTTAAGTTATTGATAAACTGTCAATTGAGCTTTACAGTGTTTAATTAGTAAAAGTGGTGAGTGGAAAATTTAAGTATAAAAAAAAACAATTT